AATATACACAGCGAAATTAAAGCGTACCTGTTTGAACCATTGTTATTCTCTAAGAAAAGAAATAGATCAACGTTCTACTGGAATGCCGATCTTCCTCTCTTTGGCCTATTTCGATATAGCGGCTTTCAATGGGATAAAGCGACCGATAGGTATAACCTACCCTTTTATAGGCTAGAGAGGGGACCTAGCAAACCCTAATCATTAGTACGTTAACTGGGCCCCTCTCATCACGGGTTTCAGTTAAACACAATTGCCTACACTTTGCTGCTCAACTAGGCCTGTTATTTATAGATGCCGAAACCCAATTCAATAAGATCACTAAAGGGTACAACACATATATTGGAATATCCATTAACTCGAGTATTTACAATAGAAAATCAATTAATTAATGTAAGCCCATATTATAGGAAATTTCCAACAGGTAATACCAACGATCTGTTCGATTGAATCAAGCTGTGCACATAAGAATATCTTTACTTCCGAGTTAAGACATACTGAAAATTGGCCGATCGCCAATCATGGAGATGTAGACATGCTTTAGCTCAACCTCTGGCTCGTTATGCCTTTCAACTTCTCGACAAGGAAGGTCTGCAATCAGGAAACAGTCACAAGATCAGTTGCGCCGATAAGATAAAAACTTCATCCAATATCACATTATATGATCCTACTTCGTACCCCAAATAACATGGAAGCTACTAAATTGCAAGTTGACAAATTGGACCAAAGTCTACTTGGAATACGAAAAGTATCAATTTCTAATGGTAGCAACTCTGGAAAGAAAAAAAGCTAATTTGTCGAGAATTAATCAGATTAAAAGCGTGCTGCTGTTTTGCAACATCATTCCTTCTTTTGGAAATTCCAAAAAGTCCAGCTGAAATCAATGCCATCTTCGCCTTCCATCTCGATCAAGGAGGATTGAATACTAATTGGATAGCGTGTCCTTTCGACAGAATCTTTTAAAGGTTTTTAGATTTTTTTTTTCTTGAGATGCACACCTTGGGATAGTTCTGTATTGTACATGATTTTACTTTTCAAATTTTGCAATAATTGACGCAGCGAAAGAGGATGATAACTTTGCAATTAAATCGAGAGTTATAGCAATCGACAGTAAAACGAGGAATAATAATAGGATATAAAAAAATTTACATGGTTCAATCCAAATATCAAAACTTACATCCACAGAGAGAATCGATCACAAATAATCCACTACTCAATTGAATAATTAAGTAATTGGATAGCGTGTATTTTTTTTAGAATTTTTTAATGATTTTTGGATTCTTTTTTCACCAAATGCACACCTTATGATATTTGTGTATTGTACATGATTTTACTTTTCACATGTTGCAATTTGTGACCCAACAGAAGCGAATCGGGACTTTACAATTAAATCGGAAGCTATAGAAATCGACAGAGAAATAAAACGGGGAACAATAAAGGGACACAAGAAATTTACCTAGTGCGGTCCGAATATCGGATCCTAAGTCCACAGGTAGAATCGACTATAAATAATCAACTGCTCAATCAGAGAATTACACAATTACAATCGCACACACGCTCGAGTGTTTTCCCGACCTTAAATTACACCCAATGCTCCCACAGTGTTTAGCCTCGCGTGATTACTCAACAGATTACACAATCTTATCAGGAATGTGCAGAAGGGGAATCCCTTGCTCAATCATATCAGGAATGTGCGGTGGGCTTCTGCTGACATTGTTTGTGGCTTCTTACTTGGGCAAAACTCATGTGCTCTATTTTTGAGGTTGAGTTTTTCTCCCTTTCTAAGTTGCCAAATTAGTTTTTTCTTGTTCATGTGTTTGGTCACCCAGCTTCTGTGAAAATCGTCTTATTTGATGAGGATGTACAAAAAGTTCGCCGCATATTGGAAAAAATGCATATTGTTGATCATTGTGAAATCAATCACTAGAGCCATTTCTTTTATATGAACATCCTTTCTGTTGGTGTTGCTTAATTTTATTTTCTGAAACATGGATGTCCAATGGCAGAAATCAACAACTATAGTGGCGAGGAGAGGTTTGTAGAAGCAATTGAGCCGGGAGTGTGGATCTCTGATGGTCCTGATGACTTCTGATATTGCATGCGATCTGCTAATTAAACACGTATTGAAGCGGATTATCACCACATAAGCTGTGAGTTTCGTATTCGAAGTTGTGTCCATATCTCATTAGTCAATATTGCTTTTGCAGCCTCGTTATTATCTGCTGCATCCAGATTACCTATACTATCGAATGACGGAACTACAGAAGAACTTCAAACTCCGTGTTGTTTTAGGAGGAAACTTTAAAGCCATTGAAGTGATGCTATGAATTTTTCTTTACCAGAAGTATAAGTTTATAAATTGTAACCTCTGTCGGTTTCAGGAGGATGTAGTCAAGCCTCTTCTTGAAGTGACAAAAACAGCTCTGTTCTATGACTGCACACTCGTGTGGTTGGAGGTACTGATTTTTCTTGGACGTGTCTGTGGTCCAGGAGAAAATTCTTTAAATGAATCTGCAGTAGATTTTGTTTCATCATTCACAACTAGGAACAGCTTCGTTTTGGTCTTTGAGAATATCTTTCTTGTTTTTCTTTTACCAAGCTTGGAAGTGTGTGGCCGCTACTTGGAGACTATAAAAGTCAATGAAAACAAGCCTGCAGACATCATTCAAGTGCAAATGGATACAGACTACTTATCAAGGGTATTCGACATTATCGAGGATTTGTCCCTTTTAGAAATCCAATTTCCTTTTTTTGCTGTTATTAAGTCCATCTTATTCTTCAGAGACAATTGCTCTAGACATTAGGGAGAACCTACACTATGTTTTTTAAGTTCGCATTTGTTGAAGCTGAAATCTTTCTTTTTCCTCTAGCTGACTCATGCTCTAACAGCAGTTCGACATGTCAATAAGACAGATGTTGTCGCCCTTGGTTCTACATTTGGGGTATGCCTTGTGTTCTGCTATGGAGATCTTCGTAATTGACTTTTTTGATTTCAAATAAATGCAGTTGAAGACTTTCCTTTTGTTGCAGGTTATAAACCTCAAACGGATTTCCATTTTTTCGGTCTCTTTCTCATATCATGGATGCTTGAATGGTTATACTTATACTATATTTCTAATGAAGACTTCTATTTCAGTCTGTCCATTTATGCTTTTGAAGTAGGTAAGGCGCTCGTATGAATACTTTTCACGAACCATTCAAGCGAGTGGTTCCAAACATTGCTGCTGCAGCTCCAGAAGCTCCTGTGCAGTGGTTCAATAATTGAAGACCAGGAAATTGTAGATGATGCTGCACAGACGAGCAAGCGCCAGAAAAAAGAGCAAATTGACTGTTAAGTTGGCTTTTTCTGCTGCTTTTGCAAAATATGCTGATAAAATTGGTAAAGGAAACGCTAAACCACCAGATGGGAGGGGAGGCTAACCAAGTACTGGCCAAGACACAGATGCCGAGAAAAGCTGTTGACAGATTTATGTTTTGGGGCAGATTAAAGCCTTGAACATGAGGAACCATTTGTAAACGCATTTGGGTCCCTGCTTCATGCTACTGGAAGTATGTGCACGTTCCTTTTGTTCCCTGACCAGGTGCTTGCATATTATCTGTTACTTTTCTTTTGCCGAAATTCCGTTATGTTGATCTGAGAGGGGTGGTCATGAGGAGGAGATTTTCATTTCCTAGCTACTGGAAGTATGTGCACGTTCTTTTTGTTCCCTGACCAGGTGCTTGCATATTATCTGTTACTTTTCTTTTGCCGAAATTCCGTTATGTTGATCTGAGAGGGGTGGTCATGAGGTGGAGATTTTCATTTCCTAGCTATTTCTACGCTGTATAAGTTACTGGAACCTCTCATCCTAATGTTTCATATGTGTATAGGTTGCGATGTTTCAACAAGGGTTCTTATGTCCAGTTTCTTTGTAAATTATGTTGATTATGTTGCAGCTCTGAGCATATCGTAGAAGCTGATCGATTTGATGTCAGAATTTGTAAGACGTTCTGTTAAACTGCATCCCAAAATGTAATGAAAGATTTGATCTTATGAAAGTTTTGCCCTCTTCAAAGGCAGGGGAAAAATGAGATATGCCATCTGAGACTTCTGCATTATTCCACATGGCTTTTGTTCGAGTCTTCCAGGGTAATATTCTCTCACTTCTGTCTCCTATTAGCTTTGATAGGACTGGATCTGAACAATGACATGGAGCATTCTCTTTCTTTTGGCTCATGCTTCTTTTCATTAATTCGACAGCCTTGTGAATTGTATCTTTTCGCTTATGCAGGCGTGGCCAATTTTTCTTGCATGTACATGTTCTTGATCCTTGTTATTCTCACTAAATCGAGTGAGTTCCTGATCACGTTGTCAGCAATTTGTTCTCTTGTCGTACCGCGGCGAAGAGCAATTTCTTTGCCGTTTATTTATCTTACCAAATACGAAATCATGGAACCTTGATCTTCGAGAATGAAAACTTGATAAGGTACTCTGCCTAAGATGAGCATGTACAGCATCTGGATGGGCCAGCATATCCTTATTTAGGAAGAAGATTGCAGAATCTTATTGAAGATCCCCAAGCTCGAAAATGGCAAGGAAAACTCTCATAAAAGTAAAGAGCGATTGAAGAATGTCTAATCTAATTGCTCGAGTTGACGATGAAATTCATCTCCATAATACATCTTCTTGGATTTATACTTGAGGAAAAATTAGAGAAATGATGCGAAAATGCCACGTCACTAAGGGCCATCGGATATAAGGTTCAAGTAAAAGTTGTGTTTTTTATGAGACAAAAAAGTGCAGGGTAGAAGTGAGACTACACTTCTAAAGTTGATGCTTCTTTTCTTATGAGATAAAAAAAAATTAGGATGGAATTAGGATTGAACCAAAAGTTAAAAGGAATATTTGATATCGGATGAGAGTTTTTAGGGTATAGATAGGGCAAAGGAAGATCGAGATGTCAGCACGCTGAAAAAGCCGAACAAACTCTGCAAGTTTCCGTCTTTCTCTCTCGCTTTCACTCATGCCTCCGGTCGCACATCCACCGTCAACATGGCGGAGGTCCGCCGCCACCCAGCCGGCATCGGCTTCGCCGAGCTACGGATGCTTCTCCTCCTCGGCCCCGGCCTTCGGCATCTTCAGCCTCCTCGTCGTCTTCGTCGTCCCCATGGTCGCGCTCGCTGTCCTCGTCTTCTTTTCTCTCCTTCTCGTGGCCTACCTTGTCGTCGGTTTTTTCCTCCTCCCAACCCATCCGCATGCCGCCGCCCTCCAACTGGCGGCTGCCGCCTGGAGCGACGACGAATCCTCCTCCTCCGCCACCCAGGGCTACGCCAGCGTCCTCACTCGCATTGCCCTCGCCTTCTATGGCGTCATCTTCTCCCTCTTCTATTGCTTGTACCTCTTTGCCGTAATAGATCCTCCGGTGCTCCTCGACCCCGACGTCACGCTCCGCCGCCTCGGCGCCCCTCGCGGCCTCGACCCCGCCGTCATCGAGACATTCCCGACCGTCGTGTACTCCGCCGTGAAGGGGCACAAGATCGGCGAGGCGTCGCTGGAGTGCGCCGTGTGCCTGACTGACTTCGGGGACGACGACATGCTCCGCCTGATCCCCAAGTGAGACCACGCATTCCACCCCAACTGCATCCGCAAGTGGCTCGCCTCCCACACCACCTGCCCCGTCTGCCGTGCCGACCTCGCGTCGCGGCCGGCTGGCGACTTGGCAAGTCAACTCGTCAAGTCAGGCACTGAGCCGCCGCGGTTCGAGGTGAAGGTCGAGGCGGCTTCGCCCGACGGCGGCGCAGCAGAGAGGAGCCGGCAAGAAGGACGACCGGAGCGAATCCAGCCGCCGGATCCATGGGACAAGAACGAGAGCGGCAGCTTCAGTAATCCCAACCGAACAGGTGGCTCAGGCAGGATCCGGAGGTTTCCCCGTTCGCACTCGACCTGGCACTCGCTAGTCCGACCGGGCGAGGACATGGAGTGTTTCACCCTGAGGCTGCCCGCCGAGGTGAGGAAGCAATTGATGGACCGGCCCGGGCCGGTCCTGCCCCTGGAAGGTTGCTCGAGGCGAGGATATCGATGCGAAGGCGAAGGGAGCAGCCTAGGGAGGCACTCCAGGAGGCCGGACCGCCTCGACTGGGCGGCCAAGTTGGAGAGGTGGGATTTCAATAGTACCTCGCCTAGAGTGGCGGCCGATGGTGGCGGAGGGCCCTCTCAGGGTTCGGTTCAACAGGCTCGACCGGCCATTTAGTGCACAAGTTAGTTACATCAAGATGCACAATTTAGGGAATTTCACTGCTCTTGATTTGGTTAGCAAAAATGATAGGATCCATAATTTTTTTTTATTACCTTATTAAGATGCTACCGTGCAATGATAAAATTTACTAGTGTAAGGATACATATAGCAGGAAGTTGCATCTATTTGCTTGTTCGAATTTTGCCCATCTATTTAAGTCGGGTGTTTCAAAGCAGATATGATCAAATCTCTTATATTTGTCGTAAATCTTGGGATTTAGATAGTAAAAGGCCCAAATATGATCAAATCTTTTAAGCAACAGCTCCGAGGGCATCCCTTGCTCGCATTTAAAATTGATTATAAACTTCGAGCATATCAGATTATATGATCCTAATCCGCAACATGAATAACATAGAAGCTACTAAATTGCAAGTCGATAAATTGGGCCAAATTTCACTTGAAACGCGAAAAATACCAAAACTTCTAACTAGCGACTTCGGAAAGAAAAAAACTAATTTGTCGAGAATGAATGCCATCTTAACATTCCATCTCGGTTAAGGAGAATTTTTTTTTTCACACGTTGCAATTGGTGATGCGGCAGAAGAGGATTGAAATTGCATAGAAATCGACAGATAAATAAAATGAGAAATAATCAAAGGACATAGAAAACTTATGTGGTTCGATTTGAATGTCGAAACGTACATCCACGGGAAGAACCAGTCATAAATAATCCACTGCTCAGTCGAAGAATTGAGTAATTTGACATCATGTCCTTTTGAGAGAGTTTCTTTTAATGATTTTTGGATTTTTTTTTCACCAAATGCACACCTTACGATATTTGTGTAATGTACAGGATTTTACTTTTTACATATTGCAACTAGTGAAGCAACGAAAGAGAATCAGGACTTTACAATTAAATCGGGAGTTATAAAAATCGATAAAGAAATATAACGAAGAACAATAAAGGGATATAACAAATTTACATGGTTCGCTCTGAATGATGAATCATATATTCACAAGGAGAATTGGTCACAAATAATTAGCTATTCAATCAAAAATTATATTATTATAATTGTTTACATGCTCGAATGTTCCCAATCCGAGATTACACTTAATATCTTCAGTGTATTTAGCCTCTCGATATTACTCAACAAATTACACAAATCTCGGGAGAGCTCTATGAATAAATAAAGAAGAGCTCTTCTAAGGGCTAACACCTGCTCTCTTCCATTTCACCCTTTTATGCCCAGACAGATATTGAGGTCTATCGTGCATTTATTGGGATGAAGACAAATGACAAGACAAATGCTTCAACCACTTAGCGTTGAATTGAGGTGCTTCCACGTGAGACCCAATCTTGTTTATTTATGTGCAGCACCCTGATTTCTTCCTTTAGACTCTGATCGTTTCGCGAAAAATTTTCTTCATTTTTCAATGTTTGATTCGTTTTGAAAAATGAGTTAACGGAAAATATTTTTTCGATTAACCAAAAAACTATGCTTAAATTCAGGAAGGTGATTTCTTCTTTGAAAAAGTCGAAAAATATTTTTCAAAATATGACTATGTATTAGCACTTAAACCCGAAACTTTAAGTTTGAACACGGAAATTCCGACACTAGTTCACAACGCTCCAATGCCTAGGCTAGGTCCATCAAGGCTGGGCCCGTGCCCATAAAGGCCGGGACAAAACGTTTGCGCATAAATCCATCGAGGCCGGACCTGGGTCCATTGAGGGCGGGCTTGGGACCCCGATACCCATCCTCCTGGCCTTCGGCAACTTTATCCTCTCCGGCTTCGTCGTCCTCATCTACTCCGTCGTGATCATTTTTGCCATCCTCTTCTTCTTTCAACTCCTCTACGTTATCCTCCACTTTCGTGATTTCATTCTCCACTGTCATGATTTCACTCTCCCAACCCCTCCTCCTTCCGATGCCGGCTCTCCTCCGCTGAACGACAACAACCTGGACTTCAGCTCTGTCAGCATCCCGCCGCCTCCACCATCATCGGCTTCTTGTTCATCAGCTTCCTCTTCATCTTCATTTATGCAGTATATGTCGTAATATATGGTTCGGTGCCTCCCGAATACCACACCGGTCGCCCCTCCGCCATGAGGGGCACCGCCTCCGCGCCCCTTGCGGCCTCGACCCTGTTGAGGAAAACTTCTAATGAATTTTGAAGTTGACAAAACTCTCTATGTTTATCTGACATGCATTCCATTCCGGGTTAATATATTCTGGAAGTTCAGAAGGAAATATCAGACTTTACAAGTTTTCAGAACTAAAAGTTCAAACTCAGACATAAGATATTCAGACTTTATCATAAAAGTCATTCAGACTCTAATTATGAAATATTCAGATTCTACTGAAGACCTACACTGACTCAAGTTCTGAATTAGAAATTCTTTAGACGTAGTAATTATGCAGACGCAGACGCTGAAATTTCTCAGATGCTGAAGTTTTTCAGACACAGAAGCAAAACTCATTCAGAAGAAATTACAAAAGCTAGTGATCTGACATGGATTTCACAAAAGGAAGGTTTTGATTGACTCAATCTCAGTCTAATTGATTGACAATCAAACATTACGACAAGTATGCATTACAGCGGATAAAACTCTACTTATAGAAACCAAGATTCTGATTGTATGGGCGACCAAAATCAGCGGGATTCAGATTTTGTCAACTAACGGCTACTCAATCCATTTTATACAAATCTATCCAAGATGAAGATTGGAAGATCATCCTCTGAAGACTGTCCAATGGCTAGTTTGGTAGTAGGGGAGTATAAAAGGAAATCTACGAGGAGCAGAAGGAACACACGAAATCCAGAATCAACAAGTCCAAAGTCTGAGCATACTCCGATCCTTTCTCTTGTCTTTCTTGAGCTAAACATTAAGATCTTGAGGGACACTTTGTAAGAGTGATTGTGTGAGATAGAGAGTCCTATCATACACAAGAGTGTTGTCACTCAGAAGCTGTAATTCCTCTTGATTACATAGTGAAATCCAGCCGGTAGGCTGTCAGCGTGGGAGAGTAGACGTAGGCTTGCTATAAGCCGAACCAATATAAACTTGTGTGTAGTTTTTCTATCCCTTATCTCTTACTTTGCATACTGCACATCAAGAACACTATCTATTTAAACTGTTTTAAATCTAAATTTTATTCAGACTCAATTGTGGTCAATCATTTCCGCTTAAATTGATCAAGGTTGTTTAAGATCACCTATTCACCCCCCCTCTAGGTGATCCTTGCTAACTACATCAGACCCCGCCATCATCAAGACCTCTCCGAGCGTCACCTACTCCACCGTGAAGGGGCACAAGATCGGCGAGGCGTAGCTGGAGTGCGCCGTATGTCTGAATGACTTCACGGACACTCCGTTTGATCCCCAAGTGCGAGCACGTGTTCCCCCCCAACTGCATCGGCAAGTGGCCCGCCTCCCACACCACTTGCCCCATCCGCTGCGCCGACCTCACGTCACAGCTGGCCGACGGCTCAACAAGTTAACTCGCCAAGTTAGGCACCGAGCCGCTGTAGGTCAAGGTGATGGTCGAGGCAGGCAGCTCTGCCCGATAGCAGCACACCAAAGAGGAGCCCGCAAGAAGGAGGCCGAGAGCGAACTAGCCACCAGATTTGTGGGACAAGAAGGAGAGCGGCAGCTTCAATGATCCCAACCGAACAGGTGGCTCAGGCAGGATCCGGAGGTTTCCTCGTTCGCACTCAACCGGGCACTCGCTAGGTCGACCGAGCAAGGACACCGAGCGTTTCACCTTGAGGCTGCCCACCAAGGTGTGGAAGCAATTGATGGACTGGCCCGTGCTGGTCCTGCCCCTGGAAGGTTGCTCGAGGTGAGGGTACCGATGTGGAGGCGAAGGCGAAGGGAGCAGCCCAGGGAGGTAGTTCAGGAGGCCGGACCGGCTTGACCGGGCGGCCAACTCGGAGAGGTGGGATTTCAATAGGATCTCACCTACAGTGGCTGCCGACGGTGGCGGAGGGTCCTCTTCGGGCTCGATTCAATCGGCTGGACCGACCATTTAGTGCGTAAATTAGTTTCGTCGCAGAAAAAGATGGGACAAATTCGGGAATTTCTCAGCGATTGATTTGTTTTGCTGGGAGATTGCCAAAAATTTGCGCCTCCATTGTATATTGTGTTCGACAAACTTTAAGAGATTAGTGGTCAAGGAGAAGAAGTTTTTCAAATGAATTAGAGTGTTATGGAAATTAAAGACAATTGATTGAAAAATTCGAGAAAATGTTAAATTTGAATTAAAAAAATGATTGGATCCAAATTTTTTTAAAATTTTCCTTAGTAAAGATGGAAATATAAGTTCCCTACCATGCAGTGATGAAATTGACTAGTGTAAAGATATACAGAGCAAGCTAAGTCAAGTATTTTAAAGCAGATATGATTAAATCTCTTATATCATTCGTAAATTTTGGGATTTACATAATAAATGTCCAAAATATGATTAAATCTCTTAAGCAATAGCTTTGAGAGCATCCTTGCTCGCATTTAAAATCAATTTCAGAACTTCAAGAAAATCATATCATAAAATCCTAGCTCGTACAATGAATAACATGGAAGCTACTAAATCGCCAGCTGACAAATAGGGCCAAATTCCACTCGGAACACGGAAAGTACCAACTCCTAATGCTAGCAACTTTGGAAAAAAAATACTAATTTATCGAGAATTAATCGGATCAAAAGCGTCGTCGTTCGCTTCGATTTGCAACATCATTTCGTTCTTTCGGAAATTCCAAAGGAGTTCGGCTGAAATCAATGCTAGCTTCCCGTTCCTTCTCTATCGGGCCAAAGCCGAAGAAGAAGCTCGCGTCATGCATTGCATCACTTCAGTGCATTGCACAGCTGTTTTCTAAGCCCCTAATACACAAGCCAGGATGGTAATTCAGGATCCACGAATCCAATTATGACAACCTTTGACTTGATGGGAAGAGATGGAATTTCGCCACGTGTCGATGACAAAACTATTAACATTAAATATTTTAGGATGCGTTTATTACGTTAAAAATGAATAATTTAAAATACGATTTTATAAAAATGATTGCTTATATTACTTATAAAAATGAATAAACGAAAAATATTTTTATCGTTCGCGAGAATGTTTAAACATAAATGGTTGTGATAACGAAAACATTTTTCATTAAATATATTTTGTCAAGTGATATAAGTGATTATTTTTAAGAAGATACTTTTTAAATCATTCATTTTTCACGAAACAAATAAAGCTTTCATTCCGGCCATTATGCACATTCGATTCCAGCACCATTGACATTATTTGAAAATTTATTAGAAAACGTAAGGAGCCATGTGTCTAATATTTCTCTCTCTAATGACAGCTGAAATTCCAAAATCTACTAAAGAGATTGGGTGTGTGAATAGTAATAGGATAGCGTGTGCTTTTGAGAGAATTTTTCTTTGATGATTTTGGATTTTGTTTTCACTCCAAATGCACACCTTGTGATGTTTACGTATAGTACATGATTTTACTTTTCACATAACGTAAAAGAACTGTTTTAAAAAAAGTTGGAAAAATTGCAGCGCAGATCCTAAAATTTATCAACTCCGTGCAATTCAGTCTTAAAAGTGTTGTTTTGTTTACATAAGGTATAGAAAAGCCATGTCATATTCCAGCTTGGACTTATTTTTCTTATTATAAAAAAGTCACGCATGATTAACATTTTATTAAAAAAAGCCACATAGGATTTTTTGTCAGAATTATCTTTGGAGACACTTAAGTGATCTTGTTTTTTTCTAATTTGGCGTTTAAGTGATATGGCAAAAAATTTGGCACCACAGTGAGTACTGGACAAAAGTTATGGCACTTCTACATTCATTCTCCCCTTATTATTCTCATTAAATTAAGTGAGATCTTGATGACGTTTCAGTATTCAATTTCTCTAGTCATACCATAGTGAAAAGCACTTCCTTCAACGCGCGCGCGCGCACACACACACACATATATATATATATGAAACTTTCGGCCATTTAGTGCATAAATTAGTTACTTCACAGAAAAAGATGGACATTTTTGGGAATTTTGCGGCAATTGAGTTGTTTTGGTGGGCGATTGCCAAAATTTTGTGCTTGCTTGGTATGTTGTGTTCGACAAACTTTAAAAGAGATTAGTGGTCAAAAGAGAAGAAGTTTACAAATTTGCGGCATTGAAGTTGGTTAAAGAGATTGGCTAGAGTGTTATGAAAATTAAAGACAATAGATTGAAAAATCCAAGAAAATGTTGATTTTTAATTTAAAAAAATGATTGGATCGAAATTTTTTTAAATTTTCCAAGATGGAAATGTAAATTCCCTGCCGTCCAACGATGAAATTTACTGTGTAAGATATACCAAGCAGGAAGTTATACGAATATCCGCATCTATTTGTTTGTTCGAGCTTTGTCCATCTGGCTAAGTTAAGTATTTCAAAGCAGATAAGATCAAATATCTTATAATTTCCGCAAAATTTTGGGATTTGGATAATAAATGTCCCAAATATGATTAAATCTCTTTTAAGCAATATCTCCGAGAGCATCTCTTGCTCGCATTTAAAATCGATCTTAAAATTTCAGGCATATCACATTATATGATCCTAATTCGTACCCTGAATAACATGGAAGCTACTAAATTGCAAGTTGTAAATTGGGCCAAATTCCACTTGGAACACGAGAAGTACCCACTTCTAATGCTAGCTGCTTAGGAAAAAAACCTAATTTGTTGAGAATTAATTGGGTTGAAAGCATCGCCGTTTGCTCCGATTGGCAACATCATTTCTTCTTTCGAAAATTCCAAAAAAGTTCAGCTGAAATCAATGTCGTCTTCTCGTTCCTTCTATAATAGGCCAAAGCAGAATAAGAGGCTTGCGTCATGCATTGCGTAGATGTTTTCTAAGCCCCATTACACAAGCTTTAAGGTCTACAAATCCAACTATGGCAACCTTTGACTTGATGGGAAGAGATGGAATTTCGCCGCGTAAATGACGAAACTATTAACATTAATATCTTAATTTCAGCCATTGTGCACATTTAGTTGCCACATCATTGACACTATTTAAGAATTTGATAAAAATATGAGGAGCCACGTGTCGATATTTCACTCTTTAATTCGATAGAGTGTCCCTTCGAGAGAATTTGTTAATGAATTTTAGATTTTTTTTGGCCAAATGCACACCTTATGAAATTTGTGTATAGCACGTGATCTTACTTTTCACATAACCTAAAATAACTAGTTTAAGAAAAGTTGGAAAAATTGTAACGCAAATCCTAAAATTTATCAACTCCCAACAATTCAATCTTAAAACTGTCATTTTGTGTACATAACTTTCAAAACTCGTTGACTTCGTGCTCTTTTTTTTTTTTGGTGTAAAATGTAAGTAGTATATAACAGATGATGTACAGCAGCTTAGGGGCATTCCCCGGCATTACAACTAGTACTAATAATTCGAGAATATGGAGATAGGAAGTCTCCATAAAGTAGCTAAAACAAAGTTAGCTTGCGAAGGTTTGATTTTTTGTTATAGCGAAGCTCTACCTCTTACATTTTTCCGCACCTTCGCCAAAATAATCTGAATGTCAGTTGGATTGTTTTGAAACCGCCTATGGTTGCGCTCCATCCAAGTGCAATATACAGTCGCTAGGAAAGATACTTTGAGGAGTTTCACTGCCAAATCTTTGCCTCTTGTTGCTCTAACCATCCATTGAAGCTCCTCATTCCATCCCCATACATTACGCCTGATCCCATGTTGCGCAAGAATATTGCGTAAGATGCTACCTGTCCATTCGCATTGAAAGAAAAGGTGAGTCGTGTTCTCTATACTTGCCCTACAGAAGATACATTGAACATCGACTGAGGTCATCCACCGTGATATGATCTCTGCTATCGGAAGCCTATCCCTACATACTAGCCAACCAATAAAATTGTGTTTGCTAACGCCGCTACTCCATATTAAGTTATACCACTCCACAGCTAGACTCTCGTGTCTAAGTTCATCCAAGACATCATGGCAGCAATATCTTGGATTAGACATGACTGGGGTTAGGACATGACGTAGTTTGAGGAGACATCGCCAACTCCAGGCCATACTACCCTTCATGTCCATCTGCAAAAATGGGGTTCCTCTGCATTTTGTACTGTGGACCCAAGAGCTCCAAAGTGAAGAAGATGGATGATTGATAAGATTCCACATTGTGCGCCCTAATAACACTTTGTTCCATAGGTTCAAATCAGGCAATCCTAACCCTCCTTCCTTTTTGGGTGAGCATACTACACGCCATGCAACTTTGTGCGATCCACGGTTTGTTGAAGACCCAACCCATGGGAAGTGGCGAATCTTCTTCTCAATCTCATAGATAGTTTGCTTCGGAAAAAAAAACATTTGCATCCAGTACGTGCAGATAGATATAAGGACCGATTTGGTTAGTTGTAACCGACCCGCATAACTCATATGCTTCATTCCCCAACTCTCAATTTTCTTGAATATCTTATCAGTAAGGCTTTTGCAATCTGAGTGGGTGAGTCTTTTAGTAATAAGAGGAACACCCAAGTACTTGATAGGGAGAGTACCTGCGGGAAAAGGCGTATGGTCCAATATAAGAAGCTTTTCCTCGACTTCGTGCTCTTGATATTATAGTAAAAACCAAATTTGAGCACAAAAAAATTTCTCCAATCATGGAGAATATCTTTACTTCCGAGTTAAGACATTCTGAAAGTTGGCCAATCGCCAATCATGGAGATATAGACATGCTTTAGCTCAACCTCTGGCTCGTCATGCCTTTCAACTTCTTGACAAGGAAGGTCTGCAATCGGGAAACAGTCACATGATCAGGTGCGCCGACAAGATGAAGACTTCATCTATGGACGGTTGGTCAAGAACAGATTACGAAGGATTATGTTAGAGTTAACGAGGCTTTGGGAAGGCAACCACAACGAATATGGACTCGGTCAAGATCTTAATAGTTTGCATGCCATGTTCCTTTGCTGATGATCTTCAGATTGTCTGGTGTATTCAATGGTCGTTCCGATTCTTCATGCCTCCGATGAGGAAAATGTCTGGGAATCCCTTATGCTTGGTTGCCCGGGCTAACTGCATAGTGTTCTAAATCTCAACGAATTGGAAGAAACTGCTTGAGCCTGGAGCAGTTTTTTAGCCAGAGGAATTAGTGGCTGAACGGCGTCCGTCGTTAGAGGGCAACAAACTGCTTCAGCTTGCACACCCATGGCTGCAATATTTGGGATGTAGAAGTTGGCAAGTTCTATATTTGGGATATAGAAGTAAGTGAAGTTGCACGCTGAAAAAGGCGAACAAACTCTACAAACATCTGTCTCTCTCTCTCTCGCTTCGCTCATGCCTTCGATCACCCATCCACCGTCAACATGGCGGAGGTTCGCCGCCGCCTCCGCCCTCTTACTTTTCCTCCTTCTCCCAACCCCTCCTTCTTCCGCCGCCGCCCAACCGGCTTCCATCCCGGCAAGCGGCGAATCCTCCTCCTCCACCCCGGCCAAAAGCCTCCCCCCCATCCTCTCCGTCCTCTGGGCCCTCTCCATGGTCACGGCCGCCATCAGCTACTTCTTTTCTTTCCTTCTCTGCGTTATTTTCTTCTATCGTTATATCATTCTCCAAACCCCTCTTCTTTCGGACGACAATGACATCCTGGGCTTTGGCCCCGTCGGCACCCCCGTCGCCTTCACCGCCTTTGGCTTCTTCTTAATCTTCATCTTCCTCCTCATCCTCGTTGGCGTAGTAATTGCCGTAATATATGGTCCGGTGCCTACCGAATACCGCACCGGTCACCCCCTCCGTCATGAGGGGCACTGCCTCCGCGCCCCTTGCGGCCTCAACCCCGCCGTCATCAAGACCTTCCCGACCGTCATCTACTCCGCCGTGAAGGGACACAAAATCAGCGAGGCATCGCTGGAGTGCGCCGTGTGCCTGAACTACTTCGAGGACGATGACACGCTCCGCCTGATCCCCAAGTGCAACCACGTGTTCCACCTCGACTGCATCGGCAAGTGGCTCGCCTCCCACACTACCTGCCCCGTCTGCCGAGCCAACCTCACGTCGCAGCAGGCCGGCAGCTCGGCAAGTCAACTCCCCGAGTCAGGCACCGAGCCGCCGCGGGTCGAGGTGACGGTCGAGGCGACTCTGCCCAATGGCGGCGCACCAGAGAGGAGCCCGCGAGAAGGACAACGGCAGCGAATCCATCCGCCAGATCTATGGGACAAGAACGAGAGCGGCAGCTTCAATAATCGCAACCGAACAGGTGGCTCGGGCAGGATCCGGAGGTTTCCTCGTTCACACTCGACTGGGCACTCGCTAGTCCGACCGAGTGAGGACACCGAGCGTTTCACCCTGAGGATGTCCGCCGAGGTGAGCAAGCAATTGATGGACCGGCCCGGGCCGGTCCTGCCCCCGGAAGGTTGCTCGAGGCGAGGATACCGATGCGGAGTCGAAGGGAGCAGCCCAAGGAGGTACTTCGGGAGGCCGGACTGGCTGGACCGGGCAACCAAGTCGGAAAGGTGGGATTTCAATAGGATCTCGCCTATATTGGCTGCCAACGATGGCGGAAGGTCCTCTCCGGGCTCGGTTGAACAGGCTCGACCGGCCATTTAGTGCATAAATTAGTTACATCACAGTAAAAGATGGACAATTTTCGGGAATTTTGCGGCTATTGATTTGTTTTGGCGGGCGATTGCCAAAATTTTGTGCTTGCTTTATATATTGTGTTGGACAAACTTTAAAAGAGATTAGTGGTCAAAAGAGAAGAAGTTTATAAATTTGTGGCATTGAAGTTGGTTAAAGAGATTGGCTAGAGTGTTATGAAAATTAAAGACACTTGATTGAAAAATCCAAGAAAATGTTAATTTTGAATTTAAAAAAAATGATTGGATTCGAAATTTTTTTAATTTTCCTTGGTAAGATGAAATGTAAATTCCCTGCCGTGCAATGATGAAATTTACTGTGCAAGGATATACCAATCAGGAAATTATACCAATATCCACATCTATTTGGTTATTTTGAGTTTTGTCCATCTGTCTAAGTTAAGTATTTCAAAACAGATATAATCAAATCTCTTATATTTTTTGCAAAATTTTGAGATCTGGTTAATAAATGTCCCAAATATGATGAAAGCAATATCTCTGAGAGCATCCATTGCTCGCATTTAAAATCGATTTTAAAATTTCAGGCGTATCACATTATATGATCATAATTCATACCCTAAATAACATGGAAGCTACTAAATTGCAAGTTGTAAATTGGGCCAAATTTCACTTGGAACACGATAAGTACCTACTTCTAATGCTAGCTACTTTGGAAAAAAACCTAATTTGTCGAGAATTAATCAAGTTGAAAGCACCGCCGTTTCCTGCGATTGCCATCATTTCTTCTTTCGAAAATTCCAAAAAGTTTAGCTGAAATCAATGTTGTCTTCTCGTTCCTTCTCTAACAGGCCAAAGCAGAATAAGAGGCTTGTGTCACGGTCAAGAGGTTTTCTAACACTAAGGACCGTGACACCCCGATGAAGACCCGTCCAAAATCCAATGGAGCTTCCGGAATTTTCCCAAGGACGGGCGAGACGGTAATTTTGCCGGGGTTCTAGAGAGTTCTCGGCATAAATGCCGGTAGTTGATAGCTCTCACAATAAATGTCGGTAGGTGGTCGACGAGAACGATACGATCTCGGCCACTCGTCTAGAAATCGATCAATGGTTGTAATCCGAGGCCCTCTACTATATAAAGGGGTGTCCTCCTTCTCATTTCAATCATCCAAAAACAACAAGAAGCATTTCCATTCTCTCCCAGAGCTTCTCTCTCTAGATTCTCTCTCTACGATCCGAGTGTCCGAGCGAGTGAGCGATCGGGAAAAAGGCTTAGCCTAGGCGTTCCAACGATCCAAGGAAGCCTAAGTTGCCGCACGGGTCGTTCCCAAACTATCGGCCCGTGACAAGTGGTATCAGAGCAAGTAGAGAGTCCATCCAAGGAGATCGAGGAGCACACCAATTGGTCGAGAGAATGTCGAACCAAGAACAACTCGCTTCGGTTGTTGTGGATGAAAGGGCTCCCAATGAATCGGTTCCCAATGAGCCGGTTGCCCAACCAAAGACTCGTCGAAAATCCAAGAAAAGGGATGCTTCGTCGGACGCCGTAGCCGCGGTCGATGAGAAGCTCACGAGAATGAGAACAGCAATGCTGGAATTCATCGAAGAACTCGATGAAGTTAAAGGGCGGATCAATGAGGTTGAAGAATCTCTCCGCCACGATTTCACAAACGTCGTCAATCGCACGACGGCCCCCTTGTTCGATAGGGATGATGTCCTTGAAGCATCCATCGAGGCTCTAAGGCTTGAAGTCGTGGAACTCAAAGAAGGCAACTCCTCCAAGGCCGAAGTCGAAGCTTTGAAGATGGAGGTGCAAGAGCTCAAGACCGAGCTCATCCTATACAAAGCAAGCATCGCGAACGGTGCATTGCCCATCCAAGCGGCACACAAGCTAGATGTACCGAAGCCGAAAGAATTTAAAGGCGACCGGTCCGCCAAAGAGGTGGACAACTTCCTATGGAGCATGGGACAATACTTCGACGCCATTGGAATCCAAAAAGATTTGGCCAAGGTACGAACCGCTTCTATGTTCCTAGTCGATAATGCCATACTTTGGTGGCGAAATAGATGTGATGAGACAAAGCGAGGTGCCGATCCCATCACTACTTGGGATGGATTTGTCAAGGAGTTTCGGGATTATTTCTTCCCCGAGTATGCTCAACAAGAAGCCCGTAGCAAGCTCCATCGCCTTGAGCAACGAGGCACGGTCCGAGAGTACGTGAAGGAATTCACCGAACTCAAACTCCAAATTCCCAGCCTTGGGGAGGAGGAGGCTCTCGGGGCGTTCATGGATGGATTGAAGCCGTGGGCATTACTCGAGCTCAAACGAAGGGACATCCGAAGCCTCTCGCGAGCGCTAGTCGTGGCCGAGTCTCTCGCCGACTTCACCAAGGAGGCCCCAAAGACAAGAGGCAACGGGTGGAGATCGGATCGCCACCATGATGAAGAAGAAGACCAAGCTGTCCGTGGCCGAAAAGACTCGGATAGAAGTCCCAACCGTGGCCGAAAAGACCATGGTGGACGTGAGAAGACATGGGGAGAAGGAACATCCAAGTCAAGCGATCCCAAGTGGAATCGACCCCAAGGAGACTACAAAGGCAAGTTTGATACTCCACCACCGTCTCCGTGCTTCATTTGCAACGGTCCTCATTAGACACAAAAGTGCCCGAAGAAGAGTAGGATCAATGCCATTCTTGCCGTAGAAGAGGATGAAGAACCGAAGCAAGAAAAGGAGAAGCGCGAGGTGCGACTTGGGACCGTGAAGGCTTTCAACTCAATCAACTCCATGAAGGACAAAGCTCCGCCAAAGGAGAAGCCGGCACATTCATACCTCTCATTCATTGAGGTCAAGGTACGTGGCATACCCCTCCTCGCCTTGGTCGATACGGGTGCAACGAGCTTGTTTTTGTCAAATGAGGCGACCAAACACTTGGGACTTCACGTGGAACCGACTCGTAATCGTTATAAGATGCCCAATTCTGAAGAGATATCAGGCGTAGGCGTGGCCAAAGATGTGGAACTCCAAGTCGGTACTTGGGAAGGCAAGCTCCCGTTCGAGGTAATTCCTCTCGACGACTATGATCTCATTCTGGGCATGGAATTTTTCGATGCCGCAAGAGCCATGATAGAACTAAGGAGCAACATGATCATCATCACCGACTCGGAGTACCCATCCATGATTCCAATGATTACTGGAGTAACCGAAGCCAAAGTCCTCTCCACGATCCGACGAGTGAACAACGAACCAAGAGTTGAGAAGTCCGTGCCCGAACTCCGCATCGAGCCAAAGCCGAAGGTGGATCATCCCCTTCAACAAAACATGCCGATCCATGTCCTATTCCCGGAGGTGACAAACTTGCCGACCAACATGGAGGAAGCCAAACCAAAGAAACCAAGTACCCAACAAACCGAGAAGCCGAAGGCCAAGAAATCTCGGAAGAATCGAAAGCGCTCCAAGAAGCCAACAAACAACCCCAAGCCAAGAGCTCCGAGGACGTCGCTCGAATGGGTGGGGGAGAATGTCACGGTCAAGAGGTTTTCTAACACTAAGGACCGTGACACATCGATGAAGACCCGTCCAAAATCCAATGGAGCTTCCGGAATTTTCCCAAGGACGGGCGAGACGGTAATTTTGCCGGGGTTCTAGAGAGTTCTCGGCATAAATGCCGGTAGTTGATAGCTCTCACAATAAATGTCGGTAGGTGGTCGACGAGAACGATACGATCTCGGCCACTCGTCTAGAAATCGATCAATGGTTGTAATCCGAGGCCCTCTACTATATAAAGGGGTGTCCTCCTTCTCATTTCAATCATCCAAAAACAACAAGAAGCATTTCCATTCTCTCCCAGAGCTTCTCTCTCTAGATTCTCTCTCTAGATTCTCTCTCTACGATCCGAGTGTCCGAGCGAGTGAGCGATCGGGAAAAAGGCTTGGCCTAGGCGTTCCAACGATCCAAGGAAGCCTAAGTCGCCGCACGGGTCGTTCCCAAACTATCGGCCCGTGACACTTGCGTCATGCATTGCGGAGATGTTTTCTAAGGGGTTAATTCCAAAAAAAAGCATCAACTTTAGATCGATGGACAATTCTGATCCGAACTTTTTTTTATTCCATAAAAAAGCATTAACTTTAGGTCGAAGGACAACTATGCCCCGAACTTTTTTTTGTCTTGTAAAAAAGCAACAACTTTAGGTCGAGGGACAATTCTGGCCCGAACTTTTTTTTTGTCTCGTAAAAAAGCATCAACTTTCACTTAAATCCCAAATCTGACCCTTATTGACTTAAAACCATTGATTTTCCAACTTGACTATTCTATCTTAGCAATAAATCCACGTGACTTGCTGACTGAATTTAAAGCATTATTCATTGTCTTATTCTCTAAACCACAGCTTGAAGAATAACGGTGAAACTGTTCGTCTCCTTCACTTCACCGGCAAGTCAAAAATATCTCCAGATTGAATCTTTTTTGCCAAACTTCGTCGTTTTGTCGTAATCTGAAGCTGTAGACCACTGCATGTCGATAGACGCCATGGAAGAGATTCGCCAGGCTCACCACCATAACTTTTTTTCTCAAACAAGGGTAGCTTCAGACAGAAAATCAATGGGGAGCCAAATTTGAGATTTAAATGAAAGTTTGTGCTTTTTTACGAGACGAAAAAAAGTTCAGGCCAAAATTGTCCATTGACCTAAAGTTGGTGCTTTTTTATGGGACAAAAAAAAGTTCGGGCCAGAATTATCCATCGACCTAAAGTTAGTGGCTTTTTATGGAACAAAAAAAAGTTCAGGCCAGAATTGTCCCTCGACCTAAAGTTGGTGCTTTTTTTTGGAATTAACCCGTTTTCTAAGCCCCGTTACACAAGCTTTAAGGTCTACAAATCCAACTATGGCAACCTTTGACTTGATGGGAAGAGATGGAATTTCGCCGCCTAAATGATGAAACTATTAACATTAATATCTTAATTTCAGCCATTGTGCACATTTAGTTGCCACATCATTGACACTATTTAAGAATCTAATA